CCCCTCCATACCCCTTCCCACCCCCCTCCCCCTTCCCCCACAACAGACTTACCATTCCGGTGTCACTCTCCATGCTGCCCAGTTGCATATCAGAATCAGTTCGGTATCGGCTGATATGGCTTGTTAAAAAATGGCCATCGGTGTCAGCCTAAAAATTCTCTATCACACCCCTACTGAGTATTATTAAGAAAAACATTATTACATTGAGCTAATGTACACACTGTTTCTTTGTATCTTCACTATTCCACATTCCCTTGCATTTCAATAAATGCTAGAAAGTGGTGTTTGGGATTTGTTTAGTGACATGGAACATAGATATTTTGTGGAACTGCCCTGAGACCAATATACAGTCTGCCTATTGAACTGAAGGAAATGACTGAATTAATAGCTGAAATTAAATGATGTGGGAGGTGGGGAGAAGATGACAACTTAAAATGGCTCTTTGTTAAGCTGGACAAACTTGAATGTAAACTCCTTAGAGTTACTAAGCTACTTTCCAGAGAATTATCTCCTACAAAGTTTGCTGAGGAGGATGATACATACTGTTCTCAGGAGATCAAGTTTTATCCTGCAACACTGGCCTGATGACTATGAGACAACAGCAATGATAGTGAGGCCAGTTGCAGGGGTATGCTCTGACAACAGGGAAGACAAATAAAATGACAATTGTTCATGTGTCCATAATACTGCAAGAGTTGTTTTCTTGGTACTATCCAATAAGACAAGACAGCTATGAATAACCTTTTCCCCTGTGTCAGTCTCATTTGTGTGACCTATTAATATTTAATATAATATTTAGCAATTGAGCATATCTACATCTCAGAGCTTCTCTTGCTATAGTGATGCTGCTGGTATGTCAGGTGAGCTCACTAATATAATATATGTTATGTAATTATACCACTTCGTGCTCCAAATGGAATGGTAGCAAACATCTGAGGTCTTGCAGATCAGCTTATCAATGCAGGAAAAATCATGGATATGGAGTATGCATATGTATTAAAAATTACTATATTTGCAGCAGTCCTAGACCTGAGGAATTAATAAGCATTCTGACAATCTCTTCCTTCAGAAATCTCAGCCCAGCACCAGTACCCATAAGTAAATTGTGCTTTAGTTAGAGACCCAGGTAAGGAATGAACTGTTCTGTTACTCAAGCTGCTGGCAGACATTAAGACAACAGCCCAACTGGGGTTTGAAGAAGTTTGTTTCCCACCTCCCAACTTGCATGACCTGCCAGGCCAGGCATGTATAAGGGATGGGGCATAAAATTCCCCAAAACCCAATTACGTGACTGCCAGCTGCCAGCATTTGGGGAACCCCACACTGGGAGCCCACAGGGTCTCCCCACATGGACAGGATTCCTAACTTGCTCTATAGCCCCCGCACAAGCTTCAGAGCAAAGTGGCTTGAAGCTGCATAGCAGCAGAGGACGGGAAGCACCCCAGCTGCTACTTCCTCGGGGACATTCATGCACATCCAAGCATTTAATTGGGGCTCCCAGCTGCATACCTGCTTTTTGAGGCTAGTGACAGGCATTACACATCTACCAGTTTAAGTATTCAGAAACTGGTTTAAACCTGTAACAGAACAGATGTTCAGTGGACATAAACCAGTTTGAAAATAGCTGAAACTGGTTTGAGATAAACCTGGTTGAATGTAGTATCAGACTTCACTGATTTGGGTCAAACTGGCTTATGCAATGTCTGTCCCAGACCTAAAGGTGCAGGGTGCTGTGAGTCCAGCACTGGAGAACCTCTCCCTAATGTCAGGCTACCTACACCTTTAAAAAGCAGGCTGCAGCTGGGAGCTGGGCGTCTGTGGAAACATCAGCTTCCCACTCACCAGCTGTTGCTTTTGCATTTGGGGAAAGGAGGGGGATTCATTAGAATGTGTCAGAGCTGGCATCTCACACATGTACAGGCACTCTAGGTTCCAGCACCTGGGAAGCTTTAAAGAGCACAGATGCCTCCGTGTGCTCCTTAAAGCTCCCTGGGGACTGGGACTTATAGCTCCTAGCTCCCCAGCAAGTGCTCCTACAGGTGTCCTCAGAACTCAAAAAAGTGGGCTTTCTCATGTAGCCTCAGCCTCATGTAGCTGAGGCTTTCAACTTGCCTGCTTTTTAAGTCAGGGGCATAGTGATCCTGAGATCAAGGAGATGCTCATTGATGCTGGGCTTAGGATGTTGTATCCTCATGTGTTCAGGAGGCTGCAGCATGCTAGATCCAATGCTCTGCTGAGCATCAGGATCTGTCATGGGTCAGCCTGGACATGCCATACGTTCAATTTTGGGTGTGATACAAACAAGCCACAAGGTTGTGGTTACACATTATATGTGGAATATCTTTCTAGCTTGTTTGCAATATTATCAGCCATAATTTGGCTTTAACCTGTTACTATTTATGGTGCAATAAAATCCTATTGTGGTGTTAAAATGCAACATGTGCCAGGGCCCTCATATACCTCCTTCCACTGAGATTCTTGAATTAAAAAACAAAACAAAACAAACAACCCCCCCACACTATCATAGGGTGCCTATACATGTGCTCTGACATGTTCTAACTAGAAGTGCTGGGACACTTTAACTGAAGCTAATCAAACGGGGCATTTATACACATACTTTTCTGTCCTGCAACATGCTGGAAATCCGCTGCTTCAGAGCAGACTTGATTGATCAAGTCTGCTTCACCTGAGAGCTGAGGTGAAATGCGCTGCACTGCAGAAAATGCAGAAAATGGCAGCCACGCACTTTTGAACTAAAGCACCTACAATGTATTTATATCAAAAGTGCAACACTGCCATCTTCTCAGTGCTGATGTGCATCTCGCCGCTTATACAACTGCAAGCACCACAGTGCCAGACATTTTTCAATGCGCCCGGTGCTGTGGCACTTGTATGTGTAAAAATGCCCATGAGCTTTAGTTAAACTATCCCACAGTCATTTTTAAATGTGAGGGCTTAATACATGTGATACTGTGGTGTTTTAATTAGAGTGGCTCTCTGGGAACAGCTGTAGTTAAAACGCCCTCCTTCCTCCCCTCATGTATGTGTAGAGGCAGCCATACAGACTACGTCTTTCCAAGTCTCAATATTTGCTCACACACAAACAAGAAGAACTTGGTGATAGTAAAAGCGACACCTGCTATTATTACAATATAACCTAGATGTGAAGGTCCCATTGCACTGGGCACTGCACAGACAAAAAATAAAATAAAATAAGAGAGAGATGGTCCTGCTCACCAAGAACTTACAATCTAAGTGGAGACAATAAATAGATACAAAAGACAGCAAGGATGATGGGAGAAAAGGAACTGACCTGTAACCACACACTTCTTCTCACATTCTTCTAATGTTAGAAAGTTGTTTTCATTGCCTTTGCATCCACCATATTCAAATGTTTCACACTTGCGGTTTTGAATGTTGAAGTAATACCGCACAAGTATTGCTTTGCATGGGCCTTCATCTAGCTTCATTGCACAAATTGAATGTCCGAGTTTCAGTGGTGATGATACAGCAACTATGAGTGTGAGGAAAGGAAGCAAGATACTAAATGTTATGAAATTAGTTTTGTTAATATAGTAGCATAATCTCATTTTAGAGATTTAAACAGTATATGGCACTGACCCCTGAAGTAGCTGATTTTTGCTCTGCCCCATTTTTGAAAAGTTACAGCACAGTATTTAGCCTTTGAAATTGTGTATAATTTTAATATATGCCTGTAAAAATAAAATAAAATAATTTATTGGAGTGCAAATTCCAGAAGTTATACTCATTTCATCAGGGAGCTAGTACCAAGACCTGTAATCCCCATAATAAGTTAAATACTCACCAGCAACTCTTGGAATAAAAAATAAACAAAATACTATTCACAAAAAGTAGTTAATAATTTAAAACAACAGCAGGTCTAAAATGTATAGATAAAAGATAAACCCAGCTCTAACAATTAAGCTACATCACAGCTATTTGAAATGCTATTAGTACTAATTTCTGTAGAGTTATGGAATTAGTAGCTTAAAGTAATACATTTTTAACAAATTGAAAGAAAAGCAAGATCATGACGATGCTTAGTTCTCTCTAAGTATATAATTTGATCACTCATTATTTAAATGAATTTGTGGGCCTCCATTCACTTCAAGAAACTAGAGTGAACACTTTTTTGGTAAATCTTGGATTTAACATAAATTGGGAATGTCTACATGAGACAACTTACTACGCAGTAGACTAATCTACTGGGCAATAAAGTGTCACTTTCTAAATGTATGTAGTATTTACTGTGCAATAGATTAGTCTATTGCATGATTGCCTACTACCTGTATTTACAGGTAGTAGGTTAGCTGCACAGTGAATGCATCTACATGAGATGCTTTACTGTGCAGTTTATTGCACAGTAAGTATGTGTGTGTATACATGTGCATGCTTACTGTGCAGAAAATGACACTACCTGTGAGTAAATTTGTTACCTGCAAATGCAAGTAGCAAATTTACTCATGAGTAATTACTATACAGTAACACACATGTAGATGCCAACCGGAAGCAAATATTCTCCTAGTCAGTCCTGGTACTAGATTCTGCAGGTCCTGCAGCTCCACACAGAGGAGAAGCTATAGTTGGCAGCTGGGATGCACCCTTCTGGGACCCCAAAGATGCACCAGCTTTTCAGGAGGAGGACCCAGGACTGGACCTCCTGCAGACACATGGGCATGGCAAATAGAGGACATCACCCACCAGGACAGGTGATGGGTGGAGGACATCACCCATAAGGACATATGGGGCTGGGTGGACTGGGAGTTTAGGGCATAGCTCCTGGCTCTGGAGGTGCAGCACATAGAGATCCTGCAGCAGCAGGCTCTGCTCATGGCTAGGGTAGTGGAGGCCATGGAGGTGGACCACCAGGTGCTAGATACCATCCTGGCCCTGGTGGTCACTTTTATGCTGCCTGCTACCCTGCCCCTAACTTTAGCCCCACCTGGCCCCTGGAAGCTACCCAGCACCCAAAGGTACACACACTCGAACCAGGCCTCTGGGCCAGGTATCTGTTGAAGTGGGCCAGGCAGAGGTCCAGCTGACTGCTGTAGGGTTGCATGAGATGTGGGAGGAGTGGGTAGACAGGGTCCCCAATGAGAAGGGATAGGACCACTATGGCTCCCAGCTGGAGGTCTGGCACCCCCAGCACAAACCAGTCACTCTGCACCAGGGCTGGCAGAGAACAATTCCTGAAGAAGTGGGCATCATGGGCACAGCTCGCCCAGCTGGCACTCACATTAGTGAAGGCACTGTGGTGGTTGATGACAGCCTGGAGCACAATGGAGTGGAAGCCTCACCAGTTGTTGTAGGGATGGTCACCATGGGGTGGACAGGTGATGGAGATGTGGGTCTTGTTCAGGGCTCTGATGCACTAGGGGAATCCCAGGGTATGGAACCCCACCACCACTGCCAGGGGGTTGTGCACATGAAGCGCAGTGTTGCCCAGCACATCCTGGAGGGTGGTGCACACCTCTAGGGTGGCCTTCCCAGTGGTGGCCTTACCTATGCCAAAGAGATGACTGATCTAGTGGAGGCTGGCGGGCATAGCCAGCTCAAGCAGGGAGATGGCCAGCTGGGTGTCTGTGGGGAGGGTCTGCTGCATGGTGGTGTCCTGCTGTTTCAGGTGTGGGTGGAGCTGCTCCAGGAGGTCCAGGAAGGTGGCCTGGATCATTCAGAACACCTCCAGCCACTGCTCATCATCCCAGGTGGCCTGGATGATGTGCAGCTACCAGTCTTGTCTGGCCAGGTACGCCTAGAGGTGGCAAGGCTGGAGGCCCAGGAAGGCATGGATGTCACAGTGTCCAGGAGTTCATTGTTGGCATCCCTGCCAGGGTCTGGTCAGCAATCACAGAATCATTGAATCAATGAGTTGGAAGGGACCTAGACAGATCATCTAGTCCGACCCCTTGCCATGGGCAGGAAGGAGCACTGGGGGTGGGAAGGGTTATAAGACCCCAGCCAGGTGCCTATCCAGTCTCCACTTGAAGAT